CAGGCTGAGCAGTGCAAAGCCCTGTGCCACCCCCAGCCTGGAGCTCTGCTCCCCCGGCCATGCTGCAGCTTGTCCTGCTCCAATGGGGGCAGGAAATGATCTCGGGGAGCTCCCTCATCTCCAAGGGGACCAGGGCACTCCCACCCTGCCAGTTCTGCTGCTGCCACCACCCCTTCCCATCCCCAGGCACCACCATCAGGGACCTTAAATTTTTGATTCTCACATTCACTCTCTCCTTCCCCCAAGCGTCAAACACTTTTTGCTTCACTTCCCAGCTTAAGACAGAAAAAAACTCAAAGAACCCCCCACCCTACACAGACTCTGTAAATAATTCTTTGTAAGGAAGAGTAGGACACTCACCGATTTTTTCATTGCTGTCCCCTGATCAACAAACACAAACACACATGAGTTATTATGTGGCACAGTCCCTTCCCTGGGACCCCCCCCCCAGCTGAAGGACCACACAGGTCAGGAAAGAATGAGATGGAAGGGGGAGATGCTCTGGTTCTGCTCTGATTGCAGGGATAGCAGATCTGTATTTAGTTTCCCCATCATTTTGCCCCCTTCAGTGGCACCGTTTTTGCATGAGGTTATGTTGAATAGCCAAAGGACTATTTATTAGCAATTCTACAAGCAACAAACAAACAAGCCAAAAAAAAGACATGACCTCTGCAAGCAAGTTTGTTTTTTCAGGAATTCTTAGGAATCAAGGTAACGACAATTTTATGAGTAATTTCCCAACAGCTCAGGTTTCTGTAATTTGTCCCTAAAGAACAAGAACTGTTCAGAACTCTCGCACTAATTCCATTAAAAGGGGTGTCAGAAAGCATCAACAGCCACTCAGGAGAAAAATCCTAAGGAGTGTTCAGGGGGAATTTTGACATGATTATGGGGTCAGGGGAGGAGGAAGGAAAATCTCTGCCCAGAAAGAACATTTGGACAGACTGAGAGAATGAATGAAGAGGTCTGGAAGTTTTCAGAGAGGATTTCCCCGAGGAGACGGGCAGTGAGACTTACGCAGTGCTTCCCGTTGCCTCTCTGGAAAACAAAAGCAGATCAGAGCGTCAGCACCAAAGTTGGGGCCGTTTCCCTGATACACTCCTTGGGGTAGGGAGGAGACCTGAGCACGGGCTGCAGCTCCAGGGCAGCGGGGAAGGGGCAGCTTTGCAGCCACAAGGGAGGAGCAGGGGCTGAAATGTCCCCTGCAATGCTACCTAAGGGCCCTGTGCCTGTGCTCTGCAGTGCTCAGAAAAGCTCAGGCTCCTGCACAATGGAATGTGCTACCCCAAAGCTTCCTCCAGACTTGGGAAGAACCTCGAGAGCGCTTTCAAAAGCCAAGTTCACTGTTGGGACAATATCTCTTCAGACTTGCTTTGGTGCTGCAATGATTGTCCAGAATATGGCAACAGCATTTAATCGATTAATTTCCCATGGGATGTAGCCACTAGCCAAACCATTTCCCCTCCTCCTGTCCTCCACTAATGTGACCTGTGAATTCTTCCACTGGAAGAGTTCTCCAATTTGTGGACAATGGAAAGTAAAGCTTACCTATTTCTTTCTGCTGCTTTCCTGTGAAGAAAAGTAAGAAATGCAAATCATTTAAAAACTCCTCCCTCCTCCAAGCACTGATGAACCCCCAGCAGGAGTTCCAGCCGCCCGCACGGCAGAAGGGCCGCGGGGCCTGGACGTGCCCGCACGACCCCCCGGGCCCGTCTCCTCCCAGGGAGACAGAGAGGATTTCAGTTTCCTTCATTCCTCTCTATCATCTCCCATCTGAGGGATCTTGAGAAGGAAAGGAGGCCCTGCCAGGCCCCCCAAACTGCTAGGGATTCTCTGCAGCTCAAGGCAAATTATTGCTCCATTGCTGTGCTGGGGCAGAGGAGCAGCTGATGTTGCTTTAAGACCAACTTGCTTCCTTGCCTTCCCGTAGAGAAGAAAGCTTTTTTCCTTGACAGAAGTCAAGGCCTTGGGTTCTTGTGGGGAGTGAACGGATGAGATCTTACAAGGAATGCAGAGAGATGCTGGAAGAACCTCAGTGGGCCTCCCAGGAAGACATCCATCTTGGAGAGCTCTGACAGCCGGGACCAAGAAAGAGTCCGCAGTCCAGTGATAAGAGGACAGGCCTCCCAGGACCCCCCTCTCCTACACTCCCTTTCCCTCTCTTGGGCCCCCAAAGACCACACCTTCCCTTCCTCCCCTGGCGATCCCTTCCCCCTGAATGAATAAACATATCCTCCTAACCAATATCTTCAAACCTCCTTATCAGAAATCCTCGAGATTCGAGGGTTCAAACCACCAACCTACCCCTGTCCTAGAACCTTCTTTACCCTCCCTATAAAAACACCCGTGTAATAAAGGAATCAGCCATTTTGCTGGACATGTAACCTGCGTGTATGTGTCTCTTTTCCTACGCAAGATGTGCTCTGGGCCGGATGCATGGGCTTAACCCCCCCCATTCATCAAATGGTGCCCCGTATGAAGCAGAACTCATTGATCTTACATTAAGATCAATCTCTGTTTTCGCCGGAGCTACTGATAGAATTGGAAGTCCGGACTCCAATTCT